CCTTCACCTATACTCTTTCTTCAGCACTGAAGCCCGACTGGAGCGACGGGACGATCTTGTCGCCTTGTACTTCGCCGCGACTGCTTACCTGGAACGCGTCTTCAAATTGCATAGCGATGGAAAGCTACCCTATGTTCCCTATTATGTAATGCAGATGGCACTCGCAGCTGGATTCGCCCTACTCAAACTCCTCAATTCCGATTTTGCCAGCAAATTGCCTGCGGACAAAGGTCGACAATTCGTACTGCAAACGGTTGACGCACTGAGAAAGGCCAAAGTGTGGTCCAACGACCTTTTGGATCGGTTTGCTGAAGTGCTAGCACAGCTCTGGAAGGAAAGCTCTCGAGGTCGCAGCTTGCACAGCATGTCGCAATCACCCTCCCTTAGCAATGCAGGCATGAACAGCAGTATGTTCAACCACCACAATCAGCGGCAACAGCAACAACACGAGCAAAGACGGAGCAGTGCCACATTACTAGATGATCCTCTCGGCCTGATAATCAGAAGCCGGATGAGTATGAGCGTAGTATTCGACTGTGCATGGCGCTGGCGCGAGGCGCAGGTTGCCGGTGCTGCGGAATTACTCGAAAAAACCGTTACAACAAATCCTACCAACCCGGACTCTTCTGGCAATTCCACACCGCCAAATGGCGTGGTAATCGAGAATCCCGCGCATACCCTGCCAAACTTTAATCCACACATCAATACGCTCAGTATGCCGCTTCAGCTTTCCAACGGCATGGCAAGCGCCAATAGTTTTGAAATGTTCGACTCTGTATCTTGGCTACTGGATACACAGCCAGACTGGACATATGGCAGTGGAACTTTTGGAAATGATTTTGGTGTCTAAGTTGAATCTGGACAAACGATAGAGTGGTTTGTCGTCGCAGGATCTCCCTGAGCCAGTTTCTGAGCCGCTTGGAGTCTTCTGATTCTGGAACAGATTCATATAAAGGCAATATTGAAGTAAATAAGTTTGGATCATTGAGGCATCTGCGAGTTTTGGGTGTTTGATTTAGCGTGGCGTTTGGGCGGAGAATTGATCATTCAACTTAAGAGTCCTGTTCGTGACACTATGTGTCTTTATTGTTAGCGTGTTGGACTTGACTTGTAAATGTCTAAGTTTAGTAATACGAATTGTGCGCTCCTTGCTCATTCGATGTGACAGCATATCTCCTTGAATAATTTGGACTTATAATTTATTGTGCCGTCTGTGTGGTGCTTATCAAGTGTTGTACTACAAAATAATGTGCCCATGGACCAAACCAGTATATTAGTTTTTTTTCACCATATTAAATTGCAGTGTTGATTATCCAAGTTCAACTTCTACTTCTACTTTGCTTTGCGCTATTTTCTATCCTCTGTGTACTTTATTTTTGTTTTGAAACGAAATCCACGGAAATACATGCATTAAATGAGTATCGTATTAAATCCATACCCTGCATGGTTTAGAAATACAGCTAGAAAAGTGTCGATATCTCAGAATATGTAGAGAAATAACTTCGCTGATAAAGCGTTGAACAGATGAAATGTCAAAATAAAGAATAGCGAATTTAATTTTTTGGGACGACAATAAAACCTCAACATTACAAAAATAATATTCGCAAAACACGACCACACGATCAAACAAAGAATTCAAGACAAGTAAGATAATTTGACGAGTCAGAAAAATGAATATTAGGTAGTATATCGAAAGCAGTAGTTTCAAAATATTAATTACCCTTTCTAACCATACTCGTTGTGAAGAGGAAAAAAAATCTATGCAACGCACATACAGCATACCTCACATAAACACGGACACAAAAATCCTGACTCAAAACGTTTCAAAACCCGCCCATAAAAAACATGTGGCATACAAACAAAACGCTCGAATTGGTCTTGGGGAATTTCAGGTTAGACGTTAAAAAAAGGAAGAGAGAGAGAGAGAGAGAGAGAGGTGAAGGCTTAATGTCCACATCCACAGGCTTCACCATGCAAAACACCCTCATCCCTCTTCTTGAAATCACCTCCGTAACTTGCCAGATGAGTCTGGCCATCCAGTCTCTCACCCACATCCGGTATCTTACCCATCCAACTAACTTCAGTGCCATTGACACCCTGGACCATCAATCCCCGGCCCTTTTCTAGCAGTTCCCTCGTTACAGCATTGACATCGACATTCAGATAGTCCCTGAGGAACTGGCCAACCTCGGTGTTCTCATGGTTACCCTGGAGTGCGTGTGCAGCTTCGGGGTTAGAGGTATAGATGTTGACGTCTGCGGCGCTGTGACCGTGAGTCGACCAGCCAGTCTGCGAGCGGCGCGAAACCATGTCTGCGTATTGGTAGAGGGAAGTTGCGGGGTCCTTGACGAGATTGTTGACTTCGTCGTCGTTGAAATCGTGGATGCCCAGACCGGTGGTGATGGAATCGCGGACAAAATCGGCGGTTTGATCGGTTGAGGGGTTGGTTGCGAGGAATGTGTTGTATGCGAGAGCGAGGTGTTCGGCGGAGTGGGAGGCGTTGGCGAGAGGAGACGGGTACCAGAGATATTCAGGGTATGAAGCATGGAGTTCTGGAGGATATGTTAGCTGTGGTTCGTACAAAGAGTATGGGAGACGACGTACGTCGAGCGGCTGCGAGGCCACCGGTTTCGTGGTCAGACGTCGAGACCATGACGGTTTGTGTCTTCTCCTTCTTGATGAAGTTGAGGACGCTGTTAAAAGTCTTGTCGTATGCAAGCACCTCGTGGACTTGAGCAGCAGGGTCGTTGTGGTGGCCTGCATGATCGATCCTGGAACCCTCAATCATTAGGAAAAAGCCTTTGTCGCTGTCTCTGGTCGCATGGCTGAGCGCTTTCATGGCGGCCTCGGCCATCTCGTGCAGACTCGGGTAGACGTCGTTCTGACTGCGGCGGTCGATTTCATAGGGGATATCTGTGTCAGCAAAGAGTCCCAACATGGGCAAGTCGACCGAAACTCCTCCCTTCAATTTGTCGAATCCAGCACGGTCCGAAATGTAGTTGAATCCATTCTTCTTGGCCACTCCGATAATGTCCTTGTCATCGGCTCGGCAGCTTGAATCGCCAGTCGAGTTTGATATGAAGTGGCATCGGCCACCGCCAAACATCAAGTCAACCACACGTCCAAGCGGGTGGTCTCCAACCATTTGTTCTGCAATGCGGTCTTCCTCAGATCGCATGTTCACATGCGCAGCAAAGCACGCCGGTGTAGCATCAGTGATGCGCGTTGTAACTACTAAGCCGGTCATGTATCCCGCCTTCTTAGCCGCTTCCAGCACAGTACCACATGGCTCGTGATCAGGAGTTACGGAGATGGCGCCGTTGTAGCTCTTCTGTGCGCAAGAGAAGGCCGTCGCACCGGCTGCTGAGTCGGTGATGAGCGAGGAAGAGGAGCGTGTTCGTGACTGGCCGATGAGGTGCTGATCGAGGACGAGCTGCTCATTGAAAGGAGCGCCATTCTGGAACTGCATGAAAGATCGCGTGAGAGAAAGTGAGGTAGGGCCCATGCCATCAGAAACCATGAAAATCAGGTTCCTCTTCCCACTTGCTTGGGGTGTCTTGGAGTCGTCGGTCGAACTTTGGAGGAGAATGCCGAGCACAACGACAGCGCCTGTTGCAATAACGGCCCAGACAAACAGTCCGACTTCTCTCCATTTCTGTGATTGCGAATATCCCTTCTGTCCGTATCCGGTCCGGCGGCCTGTGAGTAGGGCATCTTCTTCTGCCAGATCGCGGCCACCGCTTATCTCAGAAGACGCGCGGTTCGACAGTAGGGGGCGAGCACCAGACATGGTGGATGTTGTGGGAGCACAAAGGCCCAGTAAAGACTAAACAGTGCGAAAGCGATGCGAGGGTTGGGTTCGTGGTTTGTTACATGCAGACTGGAGATTACGGGGTGGAGACCTAGTCAGGTCAGATGGATAGCCACGGGGGTTGTTGCGACGGATGATCGACACCGTATGTGTTGCTAGCGTGACACGCTCATACCACGTGATACAAGCTTTATCCTTCTCCTGGCGACGTCTTGGCGAGACCTAGTAATCTTTACAATAATCTATAGTAGGAGGGTCGAAAATCTTTGAGAATATATAGATACAAGGCTGCTTAGACAGTTATAAGACAAGTGGTCTAATGCAGCATTTGTGTGTAGACTTACTGGACTACGAGACCTCTAGTCATAACCACTCAGCAGCCCATAGTCTTCATGTTCACCACTGACAGTCGGTTATCTGCCATCAGTGTCTTCTCATACTTGCAATGTCTTAACTTTTCTACCGCTCTAAGCGCTCTTTGAACTAACTTCTATCTCATCTTCTGTTGATCCACTACACGGTAATCTCGATCCTCGTTATGTAGTCAACTTAGCTCAGAATTACATCAAATCAAGCCAATGAGAACCACAAGTGATATTTTTTACTCACAGCTCATTTCGAAGAATGGAATTCATCCGAGAAACAACATTTGGATATAAACATGACCTGGTAAGACATTTGCAAGTAGTAAGCGTATCATATTGGGAATTGGTCAGCTTATTAAACACACGGAAAAATATTCTGCAAAAGCCCGAAGTGAACATGTAGAACGCTGGATTGAGTGGTGGAGTCCCTGGCAGAGAAGTATATTAGATTGCCAGCAATCTCTGCCCGAGAAAGAGACGATGTTTGCTCGCAAGAAGAGCCTCCGCACCAAAACTCATTGAACATTTCTGTTTCATTCCTAATTCATTTTCAAGAAAGATACCTAGAATCATATCGAAAAACTTCCTTATTAGAAGCGCATATATCACAAGTTACGAGAATGAATCCTGAGTGTGGTAGACTTGTGGTTGTAGTTGCTTCCCTGCATATTATCATGCTTGCGAAAATAAGACACGGCCACCCTACGGAGTATACGTTCAGAGAGTATATACCACCTGGTTTCAGAAATGAAGTCAAGTACCAGACAGATTTTTCCAATGAAATATCTTCCAGAGCATGTGAAGATATCGGGACACTTAGACAGATGGCGCGTTCACAATCATTGCCAACATTGAGTGGACGTGCCGTTGTACCCTGCATATACCTACGTATACTAAAAGCTACCCCAACATTCCTAACGAGCAGCAAGGCACCACGATTCACCCTCCTATTCGAACAATGTTTGCGCAACTTAAGAAATGAATTTTGTGAGTCAGATATGCAGGCCAAACCACTGACACGGCAAGGCAAATACGAAATCAAGTATGCACTCAAAACTGAACTTTTGATTTCGACTAAAGCCGTGGCTGGTGAACACACCGAGCCTACTTAGGCTATGAATAATATCCATGAACGCCCACGCTATGCTTTCAAATAAAGGATAAAATCGTCCAAGCTTCTTAAATAGTTCTGCCTCTAAATCTCCTCAGATTCCGTCTCGAGCCATTGGCCAAAGTAGACGCAAGTTCGTGCTGAAATTTCACCCTCGTCTCCACATAAATCAAATACTGGGCAGTTGCCGCAGGGAGCGTCTACGAAACCATTGTAGACTTTGGTATCTGTTGCGCGCAGCACAGTCCGATAGTTGGTACCTGATATCTTCTCTAGTCGATCGTCGAGCACCATCATCTCGAGTAATTGCTCCATGTCGTCTTCGCGCACGAATTTGCCACGTAAAATCTCTTTCGAGTTGAGCCAGTTGGCTACGGAGGCGGCGGTCGGGTACTGTGGGTTGTGTCGATGAACAAGTTTGGTTACATTTGGATCCTTGGATGGGCGATGAGGCTTGACAGCCGGCGCAATGTCCTCAATGTCCGGAATGCCTTGCACTTGGGCTTTCTTCCTGGCAATGGCAGCCGTCCTATCTTCCGTGATGTCGTAATCGTTCCAGTTACCCGGCACCCGGATGCAAGTTTCGTTCTCCACATGCTGTGCAACAATACCCGATATTGTATCAATCAGCGCCATGTCAAAGTCGCCTTCTGATTGCCATGGCCCGCCAGCGATATCTTCCGAGGGCTTGAGGTGCTTCAAGAGATACATTTTACGGTTGGGGTGCTTGACGCTCATGACTGACTGCACCAAGTCCTTGGACTCCAAGCTCTTGAGACATTTTGTGAGGGTTTGCTGGGTGACATTGGTCTTGGTTCGAAGGTACTTGGACCAGATACCTTCGGCCTGGGCCTGGTCGATGTGCTGGTAGAGGAGGCGCTCGTCGGGAGTTAGTCGTCGAAGCCTGGGCACACATGTTAGCAGGGCGCTCGCATATGCTATTTCGAGTGTTTGAGACTGCGCACTCGTGCACAGCATCAAGGGCGCACACACTTGTCGGCCTCTTCTCGTGTTCTCAGCTTCCAGCACGGGTCTCCCTCAAGATGCATGAGCTTCAAGAGATGGCGGTCGCCGAGCTCTTGCAACAGCTCCATCAGCTGCGTCACGGTATCTGCAACCTGCATGTTGGACAGGTCGCGCTGGAAGAAGATGTGGCCTGCTGGTCGTTGGGCGCATTTCTCGTATAGCGCATCGGCGGGGCTGAGGCTTTCATTGTTGCTCTTGTTGGCGTCAACGGGCTCTTCTTTGGGCACCGGCGAAGGCGCCGTTACTGAAGCCATGCTGGATCTAAGGTCTGGGTGTGCGTCACCGGTCGATCATGAGGTTATGGTGAAGGCGAAGGTGAAGACGCGACGACATGCCAACCGTGACCAAAAGTTTTTGGCGGGACCGCGACGAGTCACGCCCAATCACGTGTTGGCGGGAGTGGAATGCGGGGAAGACGACGCCGCTCCTTCTCGCTTACCACCGTATGCACTCCTTGGCCTCCCTACTGTTCTTCATTTCTCATTCTCCATTCTCCATTTTCCGTCCTTTCACTCAACACCCTTCTCACGTGTACTCCCCATACAGAGATGACTAGAGGTACAGCGGCAATGTCAGCCTCCGAGTCCCTTTGCATGCCATCCATGCTGCACCCCACGCGCTAAGGCTACCTAGACACGGGTTCGTGCATCGTGACTCGGATACGTAAAGTGCCTTTGCATTTGCAGTCAACCCCTTGACCCCGCATATGGGAGGCTTGCGGTCGAGCAGCGTATGCCGGCTAAAGACTGTCGAAAAAAATTCCTAGGTCACTCTGCGCTGGAAACGATAGCCGATGATCTTTCCCTGCTACGGCATGCAACTTCTGCACAGCGAGTCCTGGGGCTGCCACTTTGGTAGGCATCTCGCGAGCAATTAATTGCTGCAGTCTCGTCTGCTTGACAAACGCATTTGGTCCTTGTACATGCATATAAAAGCACGCTTCATTGCCGTTCTTGTATTAAAGGCTCTTTCATCTGCAGTCCGGGTACCATCATCCGGCTACCACCCACGGCCAGGTCCTGCACCTTCACACAGTCAAAATGATTTCCGGGTAGGGAATCCTAGATACCAATCACATAGTGCTTGCCTTTCCCATCTGGGTAAGCAGATCATTACTCCATGTCGTGAAACCATTGCCTTGTACATGATGGCCACTCCCGGTTATCTGGGTCCCGACTGACGGAGCCTTTACTCCACATTCAGGCGTCTGGGGTCCCCGCATGTGTGCCCTGAATCATGAGCATTGCATGTTGATAAAGATAGTCCAGACTCCATCGCTGTAAGAGTATCTTCACTGTCGTGCTCCGTACACAACAGTGCCACTGAATCCGCCAGAGGCCAAACCACCATGGCAAGAGAGAAGCAGTTCCATGAACAAGTCACCACCGGTAGTAATCTCACTACTGGTAGCAACCTTACTGATGAAGATACCGCTCGTAACCATGGACTCCACCACGACCATGTTGCCGAAGAGGCGCTCGGCGGGCGCACGGCCGACTTGGGCAAGTCATACTTTACCAGTGTGAACTTCATCGGCACAGTCATTGTAGGTCTTTGAGGTTTTCTGGTCGATGGAAGGCTCATGATGTATAGGCTACATGTTTGGCGCAAATATCGGGGTAATTCTATGTCCAACTTATGGCATAGGGCGAGACACTGACTATCGTCTAGGTATCTTGGCTGGGTTCTTCCATCCAACACCTTGAGCCTCATTAACGCTGCCATTGGACCATCACCAAACATCATATGGGTCAGCATCTCCTGGACAGCTGGTTTTGCTATTGGCTTCACGCTTGTTGGTCGTCTATCCGACATATTTGGTCGGAGATGGTTCTTCATTTGTTCATCTCTTCTCGGTTTAGTCGGCAACATCATTGGAGCGAGTGCACAAAGCATAGACATGTTGATTGTCAGTACAAAATGCTATAGAATCATACGGAGCTAACAGAAACAGGCCACCAACTCGATCAACGGCCTCGCCGCTGCCGGTCAGCTCTCGTTTCACATCATCCTCGGCGAGCTTGTACCAAACTCCCTCAGAGGTCCAGTCAATGCTTTTGTGCTTTTCACTTCGGTTCCGTTTGCCGTCTTTGGCCCTCCAGTTGCGCGATCACTATATCAGACCACAGCTCTTCAGTGGCGATGGTGCTATATCCTAGGATGTATCGTCAATGTTTTTGCCGTAGTCATGTACTTTTTCTTCTATTTCCCACCAACATACGTAAGCGAGCTCTCATCCACCCGTCTCGGCCAGGGACTAACAAGTACAGGAAATGCTCCACGTTGGCGGCAAGTCTAAATTTAAACAGCTAAAGACTCTCGACTGGGTTGGCATTATTCTATTTTCAACTGGCCTCGTTGTTTTTCTGATCGGCATGAACTGGGGTGGCTCGGCATATCCATGGGATAGCGGACACGTACTTGGAGCATTGTTTGCGGGATTTGGCACTTTGGTGGCATTTTGCTTTTGGGAAGCATACGCTCCTGGACTCGAATACCCACTAATCCCCCTACGGTTGTTCAGGAACATCAAGTACGATGCGAATGTAGCGTGTGCTAGTTTGGCGGCTATTGTCTACTATGCCAACACGGTCATCTGGCCCACCATGGTCTCTGCGTTGTTCACAACCGACATTTCCAAGATCGGGTGGCTTTCTGTAAGTTGGTAGATTCTTGAGCTTTTGAATTGAGACTGACATTTACAGTGTGCTGTCGGGGGTGGTCTGCTCCTGGGACAGATTCTTGGAGGTGCTGGTGTGCGCTATCTACCACGAATGAAGATCCAGATGACTGTGGCAGCAGTTATCACAACAGCCTTTGTCGCCGCCGTTGCCGCATCCGATGAGAGTACTGAAGACCGAACCACGACCTTTCTACTAATCGGCACCATTGCAGCAGGATACATTGAGAACCTGACGCTTTCGAGTACTGCATATCTTTGGGACCCAGCGGATATCGGTTTGGTGACTGGTGTCATGGGAGCCATACGCACCGGTCTTTCGGCCATCGCGACAAGCATGTACTCTTCCATCATCACAACAGAGTCAAAGAAGTATATTCCACGAAAAGTCAGGCCTGCTGCACTTGCCGCTGGTCTCCCGGAGTCGTCACTAGAGTCTCTACTTTTAAGTGTCACGTCGGGAAACTTCTCAGCCGTGCCTGGTGTTACGCCAGAGATTATTGCAGCGACTGGGAAAGCTGTGAAAGATGCTTATGCACTTTCGTTTAGAACGGTGTATCTCTGCACGCTACCGTTCGGAGTGCTGCTTATCGTTGCAGCACTGTTGCCACCAAATGTAGAGCAATATCTTACCGACGAAGTTGCTAGGAAGATGCATGATCGGGTCGAAAAGGATGGAGTTGAAAGGAAGGAGGTTATTGAAGCGTAGATTGAGGTTATGGAGTGTCACTCAGTACATATATATGTAGATATTCTAAGAATGTATAAACTTTTGTTAGATCAGAGATTGGTTTTGGCTCATTGTATTTGTCTGCCTGGAACTATGAAATCATCTAATCTTGATTGAACTTCTAGCAAAACGTTGTACGTGTATATTATCGGAATCCTTCCCTCCTCCCAGTCAAACCTCAAGACTTTTCCATCCATCACTCCCTCTTCAACCACTGCAGATTGACCGCACTAACACATCCCTTCTCCCCTTCCCTCAACCACCCCAGCAAATTCTCCATGCCCAACCGCTCAAACCCTATATGACTCTCCACACTGGCTCCCGCCGTATGACTCAAAACCATAACATTATTTCTCGTCGCCAACTTAGGATTCACACGCGGTTCATCGGCATGAACATCAAGTCCCGCCGCCCCGACCTTACCTTCATCCAACGCCTTATTCAGCGCCTCCTCATCCACCAATTTCCCACGCGCAATATTCACGAGCCGCGCCCCGGGCTTAAACTGATTAAACTGCGGCGTAGACAGTAGCACTTCGCCTTCAAACGGCGTAGCCAGCACCACGCAATCCGCGATCCCCAGCAACTCCTCCAGGCTAGCACAATACGTCGCCCCCACGCTCTTCTCTCGCTCCGCATCCTGCCTCACAACATCGTAGTACGCGATGCGCATTTCAAACGCGCGCGTCGCTTTTTCTGCAATCCGCATGCCGATGCGGCCGAGACCGATGATGCCGAGAACGCTATGATTCGGATTGTGTGTCACGGCGGCGATGTTGCGGTTTGCGTCGTGGAATTGCTCGGTGGACAGGGAGCGCGCGGCGAGGAAGGACCACGTGATTGCGCGGTAGCAGGACAGGATTAGCACGATGGCGGCGTCGGCGACGGACTCTGTGCACGCGGAGGCAGAGTTGCAGTATATGATGCCGTGAAGTGCCATGGTGCGCGTGTCGACCCAGTCGAAGCCTGCGCCGGCTGAGGCGTAGATTTTACAAGAGGAAGGGAGGAGAGAGCTATGTAGTAGTAGTTAATCATCTTTGTTCCTATCGAAATTTCATATTCTGTATCCTCTTTCTTTCCTTATGGTATGAAAAATAAAGGAGACAAAAAACATAAATTCTAGGAAATTGAGAAGAAAAAAAAAGATCAAACTTACATCAATTCCTCATCCCAATTCCCCATTTCCCCCCCAGTATTCCAAAACGGCCGGTACATGCCTACAAAATCCCCCCACCGCCCTTCCCGCAGCGCCGCCTTAAACTCCTCACGCCCCATCGAATACGTCCGCACAACATGGAATGTGGCCGCCAACTCGCGGTACAGTTCGTGATTCCAGCGTATATCGTCGCCGAGATGCAGAATCGTGGGTTTCGCGGCTACATTTGCGGCCTGTGTTTGCAACGCCATTTTGCCCCTCTTCCGAAACGATTCCTACTTATTCTCTTCTGTTTTTTCTTTATGAAAAATCAAGGCTGTGAAAGATGGAAAAGCCGGCGAGTGAATTCTGTTCAAATAGATATATAGATATATAAAAATTGTAAGTTGTCGTTGATCTTTCTTTCCCAAGCTCTCACTCTCTTTCCGTCCCGCAGATATGTTGAGGAACGGTACTCGGTCATGTGGGCTCTTTTACCACACTTACCCCAGCAGGGATCCCGGGTTCGCGCG